ATTTTAACTTTTAATTCCTTAATAAAATCACTTAATTATTATACTCATTGATTATCATACTCCTCACATCATTTTATTCTTTGTTAATTTTATTACTTTTGGTTATTTGGTGATAAACTTAAGAGAATTTTTTTTTTTGATTTAATCATTTGTATATCACGTGATCACGCCAATTTAATCAACCAATAGAATTTTAGTAATATTAAAAAATGATCTACAAAAATTAGCCAATCACAATGAAAGCCCGCTATGCTTATATGATGTAATAGGTGATATATCACAAATCATCTGTAACACTATGTGGACTGCTTGTGTAATAAATTGATTTTCACACATAAGTCAATTCTCAAAAAATATTTTGAATTTTTCCTTACATTTAGCAAAATAAGATTTAGCAAAATAGCATTTATTAATATGTATATTTGCTCTGAAAGGACGGAATATTCTGAGTAGAATAATATCTATAATGTTACTTGGATCTTAATATTAACTATTGAGTGATCAGGTAAGTGAAAAAAGTCTGTATATGTATTATTCTAACGCCTTTTGTAAATGTTGAGATCTTCAATGCATATTCTGCATATTTTTACTAACGAACATAGAATTTTGGCGTAAAGTGTCTTGCATATTTCTCCTATCTCTTCCCCAACATAGATGTGAGTGTAAATGTGAGAAAATGGTGGCATTTAAAAGGATGTATAGGTAATTTTTAGCTTTTTGTCATTTATTTTGCTGTTAGTGTTATCTTAGTATATTAATATTATTTTATATTCTAAACCAATTACGTAAATATGTCTACTGTAATATATAATAAGATTTATGAATTCTTAATGACTGCTAAGGAACGTCAAATAAACGCTACGTCTGTTATTTATCTTGAAATGAAAGAAAACTGCTGAGTTTCTCAGATAGAGTTAAAATCAATTGTAAAACGAGCTGTGGGTTCTGTTAGCAATGTATTTATGGAAGGTTCTTTTCTTCAATTAAAAATTTTCCGAATCCTACCACAGGTTAGTTAAAATTTATGCAAATATTTTAGCTTTTTATTATTATATGATGATATTGTATGATCATTTACTAAAGTAAACCTGAATAAACAAGTTGTTTTTTGGTTTGTTGCTTATATTTGACCTACCTATTTAGCTCACTTGCTAGTAAATACTTACATGTAATAGAGGGGTATATATGCTATAATCTGTTATGCAGTTTTGTAGTTCATCCTACCAACCTATTATGTAAGAAGATTATTGTCATGTCGAGGGGTATGTTAAGATATGAGTTATTATGTTGCTTTGTTAGTATTACACGAAGTTTTATCTGCATAATGGTCACACAAAGATGATAACTTCGCATATGTACTGATGATTGTGTTATTTTTATGATGAGAACTACTTTTTATTTCTGAAATCTAATGCAATACTTTTTTTAGTTTGACATTGGCTTTGAAGGTGTTTGTACTTTATACGACATGGGGGCAATTAAAACAGATAAGAAAATTCCTTTTGGCTCAGAACAGATTGATGATAATATAAATGATCTGAAAAAAAAGCTTAAAAAAGACACTTTGCCTCTCTATTAACAATTATATTTCAAAGTAAATGCTATATTTATTTAAAGCTTAACCTGGAAGGATTCTTTGGCCAGCCGAGTTATTAGCGATCAATCAGAAGTTGTCAAGCAGTTATCATCAAATCTAAAAAAGGCATTTAAGATAAGTAACTTGTTGAAGGTTCTTTGAGAGTAAATATAACATATTTTTTATATTAGAAACCTACTCAGCAGATGGTGCCTGCTCCTATAATGATAGTTAAAAAGATGTGTGAAAATTTCGTAACAAGTTTTGTCAATTATAACATTTAGAATACAATACCAAATAAACTAATTCACGATAGATCTTAGAAAGAATCAGAAGAAAAATCGCAGATGTTATAAAAGAAGTTTTAATTCTTCTAGAAGATATTTGGATTAATCCAGCTTTTAATTCTGAACTCTGAAAATCGCTAAATGAAAGAACTTATCAATCAACAGTTATTATATTGTCTATTTGAGCAATATTAAAAAATCTTCCTTTTAGACTATCCTCATTTATCATTACTTCAGAACGGCAGAGTATTGCTAATGTAAATAGGAAAGGCGAAGGGCAGGTGGAAAGACGACCAGATATTATATATGTAGTAAAATATTTAGATGTTTTCTTTGAGCTTATGTATGTCAAATGTTCACAATTATACTGTAATCAATAGAAAAAGATAGATGATGAGATAAAGCTATGGAGAGAAAGTAACGATAGAATGTTCTGAATTAGCAAAGTCCTTAAACTAGAGAAAGATCAATTTGGAATAGTTGGAGTGCAAGTAGCTTGAAATATGTTGCATCTGAATGTACTTATTAGAGATAAAGCAAACGTTCATAGATATTTTCATTTACAATCAGCTAAAATTCTTATGCGATTATCAGATATGAGTGTTGTAACTAAATTTGTGGAAACCTTTTTACTTTTATGAAATATATTAATTACAAATTTGTCCTTACTATATCATGCATTTATTTCCATATCAGAAAGACAAAAAGAAGATAGTACTACAGTTTCCACTCCAATGCGAGATGATTAGAGTTTCTTTTTTTTTTGTAATTTATATTACGTATCATTATTTTTGTATTAAAGCATCAGATAATAAAAATTTTTTGGCAAAACTTTGTGAACTAAGTTCACAAAGTGAAATCATGTGAATTTTTTTTTATTTTGAATATAAACATACAGTGTATAAAATTATTTTCGAAAATGACATCTGAGATTGACTTACTTAGACAAGAAAACATCAGACTTATAGCTAAGAATGCTGAGTTTAAGGCCAAGTATGATGAGGCAAAAGATGAGATTACAAAACTAAGGGTCGAGCTCAGGAATAGAATCAAGGAATTGGAAAAAGCTAGAATAGATACTGCCGTTGAGAATACTAAACGTGATGCTGAAAATATCAGACGTGATGCTGAGAATGCTGAGCTTAAGGCTAAGATTGCAAAGTTAGAAGAAGATTCTAGGCATCCGCGAAAGGATTTCTCTTCCAAAAAACCTGCTGACATACCTAACTCCATAGTAGTTAATGAAATAGTACCTGCCAATTTGAAGTCATCAGAGGAAAAGGCTATGGACTCTTTTCTGGGTGAGGTGAATAAGAAAATAGTTAATAATAAAATTAGGCAACAGATGCTTGCAAAAGTGGAAACCATTTCCTCTGAAAAGAATAAGCAGATTTCAGTTAACAAAAGGGTACTTTGTAAGGAAAATCAGAAAAAACAAAGGGAAAAATTCATTCAGGAAGTGACAGAAGAGGCGGACACTAAAACGATCTTAAATGATTCAGTACCTTCAGTATCTTCCTAAAGAGAATCAGATTCAAGCACTAATATTATAGAAATAGGAATACTAATCCTTTCTCTTTTATATAAAAAACTTTGTAATGCTATAACCCTTGCTGATCATGCGACTCAAAAAGCTATCTTTTTTTACTGCCAATTTGGAGAGGCTCTTATCCAGAGGCGAGGTGAGATCGCATCTGAAAAATATGTTGATCTGAAGTCTAATATAGTCAGTAAAATTCTAAATATAAAAGTTAAAGTTCAGCTTTCTGCAGTTACTTCTGATGCACTTTTACAGAAAAGAATTAAGCAGGCTAAGAAGCTCTATATACTTTTTAATGCAATAGATATGGATAAAATAAATCGAATTCATTCCTTCTTCACTGATTCTATCTCAAAAATGACGTATTAAAACATCCAGTATATTATAGACAATATGTCTTTTAATTATAGCATTTATATGGAATCACAACTTCGTGAACTGAATTCACAAAATGATAAGAAAAATTCTGACTTATCATATATCATTAGTTCAGTTGCGCCTACTGAATCTCAAGTTTCCAATGAATCTGCCTCGAAAAAAATTGATACCAAGGTGGTACCACCTATTTCTCAACTTCTAGTTTATGACTGCACCTATTTCTGCAAAAAGATATTGGATCAATATCTTAATTTAAATATAGAATATAGTAGTGAAAATTTCGATTATTATGAGATTACTGATGAGATATTATGCGGAGACTACATCTGCCCATTATGCGAATTAAGTCATGATGAAGAAGAAATAGAAGGTGAGTATAAAGCCAGATCTTACCTTATTAAATGTGAACAGCGTGAAATTGGGATAACTGCATAGTCCTATTATTTATAATACTATATTTGCGTTTCTCTTGAAAAACTATTTTTTATAGGACAAATTTATGTTAACTACTACTAAATTAAATTAACTTACATACATATAAAAAGGAAAATAACTGTATCTGATAAAATACTAACTGCTGAATATCTGGATTGGCATGTTAAATTAAGTGGATTACCAAGTATTTTGTCAGATAAGTTTCATTCCAAATTATACAAAAGATATAAAAAGAAACTGGAAATGAACTGTGGCAACTAACAGAAGTACATGAATTGAAAGTTATAAATTCAAAGTCAGAAAAAAGACCCATCACCTTCAAAGCCAGACCTGATCCAGAATTAATTATCAAATCAGTTTTAGAACACTTTCCATACTTGAAATTCTGAAATAGTTTTAGGGAAATTGATAATTATAATTTTACATCACTTCAGTCGTAGAGCTTATCATGCCCTAATTGTAATGGAAAACATGGGAATTACAGATTACATAACGAATGGTATAAAAATGAAATAGAATATTGTCTTACTTGCAATACTTTAAGCAATAAATTCAAGTTCATGATTGTGATTTAGACCAGTCATATGAGAAATCGATCACCTGAAAAAATGCAAAACGAATTGATAAAAAATTTAATGTCTGTATCACAAAATATGTGATTCTGTATTAATATTGGCAAAAGTGATCAGCATTACAAATTGTAACGCACATGTGATTTGATCGAAGTTGTATTACTAGCAGATCTCTCACAATATTGACGCGTAAATTTATTTTTAATACTATGTCCTATATCAGGGTGAATTTCTTGCACGCAAACTTTTTTTTACGTAAAACTATATCTATTATAATATTCTATTCTGACTATAAACATATTATTGATAGACTACCAGAAAGTCTTGTCAAGAGAGTTTGCCAGAGACTGTTGCACCATTCTAAAGATCCTGTTCTATTAGAATCTATTTCCAAGAAGTCTGAACAGATTGAATCATATTTGAGGCATACATTAGAGGTTTATAATAATTCATTAAATAGGAAATGCAAAATTATGATTCAGGAAAAAATATTGCATCCTCGAAGCTGGCCAGAATGTAATGTATCTTCAGCATTATTAGTCTCAGATAGTGATACTCAGACTAACAATATTACTTATGATCATGAGGAAGAGAATAATCACTGTGTTATAAATGAGCTTAAAGTACTATCTCAGCATCTGCTCGATTATAATAGACAAACTTTTGAGAAATTTATGTATGACATAGAAAAGAAATATAGAGAGCAGGTTAATGCAAATAAAAGATTACGATGTGAAGTTAAGGATCTGAAGATGCAGGTGCAGAAGGTAGAAAAAGAGCTGGCATCTATGAAGTTGAATTCTTACTAAAAAGTGGCATATCCTAGCTGATATGTATTCTGTGTGAACGGAATGTTCACAAGATACAGTTAAATCAAAAACAATAAATTTATGTAAACATAAAGCCTTGTCAATAATCTTAATTACACTATGCTAGTTATTAGCATATTGACGCATAATACAGCTCAGCTCATCTGTAGTACACGATCTGTTAAATAGACAGACTTGTATAAGATTTTTTCGTATTATCTTTGAACAGTCAAAGTAACTCTGTGATACATATATCGAACTGATATTGTAATGGCGTCTCTCAATAAAATAAGGGATGATCTTCTCTTGCACTTTCTTTGGATCAGCACATATATCTTCGAATATGGGTACTGTAGCTCTATCCAGAGAAAAGGAATCTACCTTAGGGATTTTATCAGGCTTCAAATCTCAAAATATAATATTTTCACGATAGAACTTTAGACTATTTGTAATTATCTGATATGCTGATTCAAAATACATATATTTTTCTTCCTTAAGATTATAACCGATTAAAAGCAAATCATTACACTTGATATAGCGTGTCCCTCCTTTCTTTCCATTATACATCTGATAAAGCTTATTTTCAAGTATGAGATTAAGAACTTCATTAGTTTTTCTAGAATTGGTACGACCACAGATCAGAAGTGTAAAAGGCCATTGGGGAACAATTAAATGTCCATTATATTTTTTGGCATCTTTAATCTCATTAATATGATATACAAGCCTATCAACTGGTTTAAGCTTTTTTATTTTTATGTCGAACTATTACTAATGATATACTAAAATAATCTTGCAAATTTCAGCGAACTTGGTTCATCCAAAATCACGTGAACTTTTAAGGGTTGATAACTTCGCTTTATTCAAGAATCCTTTTTCGATTAGTATATGTCTAATGAACGGATATAAATTTGCAGTATGAGGTACTTCAATAAGGTATATGCTTTGTTCCTTGCATATATCCTGCTTCTTTTGATCACGTATCTTTTTGTGATTTTAGATTTTCATTCTCCCAGTGGTAGAAGCTATTGTGGCGATAGTGTTGAGAACCCTGAAATTCGAATGCAAGATACAATTCCTCATTATATCCATCCAAGTGTAGCCCATTTAAGAACTTAGCCCTACATGGTGAGAATTTCTTGCCTAACAAATCCTCAAAAATATATCGGCATTTACGCTCACTGTTTGTATGGTGACAAAGAGGGCACTACTTGAATTTCTTCATGATGTATTTTAGTGAATATTCCCATTGATGTGCACCATCCTCATAAGACCAAA